TCTCCAAAAGGGTGTCTCAGATTTTTCTTATTGTATTTCATTCTCTCATAAACCTTCAATGAAGTTTGCAACCTCAATTCATAAGAGATCACTAAATTAAATATGGTATAAAATTTGTTCTATTGATGTTTTTGGAAATCTGAGACAGCTTTTTGAAGATAACTGGTCAAGGAACAACATGTGTGAAAATCAAGCAATTAGGAGCTAATTTCATTTAAAACTACATTTTCATGACAAAATGAATGTGTCACAATTGAATAATAAGGATTTTCCTACTTGTACCCTTTTAACTTCAATATAATTCACACATGTATCATGGGAATACTTCAGGATTGGCCTTTAATCATAAATCAATTAGGTTTTGACCAGAAAGAAAGCATTCCAATTCAGCAATTCTAAATATATAAAGAAAATGAACCCTATGCAGATCTGGCGGGAGATGTTATATCATTATTGACCTTGCTGTAAGTCAGTTGCTACTGATATGGTCAAAACTCCGCCCACCATTAATGATATCAGAAGTTTAATTACACATTGCATTTACTTTTTCCACTATGGATTTTATTCTTTTAGTACATAAAATGATATATTTTGTTTTTTTGCATTGTTACAAAAAGTAAGTTATGCATGTGTACACAAAATGATCAGTTGGTCAGTCTAGAGGATCCTTATGGGGGATTTCTAGAATTATAATTGTATACAATGACAATATGGTGTTTTACACAAAGTAGATTTTTTTCATTTTTTGCTTTTTGAAAATGAAGTATTTAATTTGTATTTTCTTTTAAAAAGAATTCATATTTAAACATTCTCCTCAAGAAATTCTAGTATAAACATCAGCAACATTTATTTTTGTACAATTATATTTGTTTAATATCTGTACATTTATATTTTGATTCCCTCTTTAGCTCCAAATAGTTGTTTTGTTTTTTCTCCTGACATCTCCAATACAGAAATGTATTTTTATTTGGAATTCATTATCTTTCATTTTTCCACAAATCCCTCTTTTGGTGGATACCTCTTTTTCATAACTGTAATTTTTATTGCTGGTCAGTGGTTGTAAAGCTATCAAATGATTCTATTGATTAACCGCATAGTACTGCCCACATGTTCTTATCTTGTATCAGTCAGACACGTGCATTTGTTTACAAAACTAATTATCATCAAAACTCATTAACACTGCAAGATATGTAAACATTTTTTTCTTCTGTGGTTTTTGAATATTAAGAAGTAACAAAAACATTCACAAAATCAAAATTCCGATATTGATTAACTTTGAAAATACCGTCTAAATGAATAGCAAGTATTGGAAAAAATGTTATTAATTTTTATAAAACATTTTTACAAAATTCTAAAATTCTCAAATTTAGTTCAAAAATTATTTCACTTTTTATAAAGCCATTTTGAAATTTAACCTTGCTTAAATCACACAATATTTTTTCTTTATTCATTAACTGACACTTAATTTAATTTGTGTTTTTCTTAAAAAGCTTAGTGTATGCTCTCAAGTATTACTTTTGTTGAAATTTATGAAACAATAGGTTATTTGTGAATGATAGTCTCAACAATGATTATCAATGATTATCAATATATATCTCTTGTCTTGTATCGGGTTCAAAAAAGATATATATTCTGTAACTGTTTGAAAAGTGAGTTGATATTAAAAACTAGAGGCTCTAAAGAGCCTGTGTCGCTCACCTTGGTCTATGTGCATATTAAACAAAGGAACTAGATGGATTCATGACAAAATTGTGTTTTGGTGATGGTGATGGTGATGTGTTTGTAGATCTTACTTTACTGAACATTCTTGCTCCTTACTATTATCTCTATCTATAATGAACTTGGCCGGTAGTTACAGTGGAAAATATTTTGTAAAAATTTACAAAAATTTACAAAATTTATGAAAATTGTAAAAAATTGACTATAAAGGGCAATAACTCCTTAAGGGGTCAATTGAAAATTTTGGTCATGTTGACTTATTTGTAGATCTAACTTTGCTGTACATTATTGCTGTTTACAGTTTATCTCTATCTATAATAATATTCAAGATAATAACCAAAAGCTGCAAAATTTTCTTAAAATTACCAATTCAGGGGCAGCAACCCAACAACGTGTTGCCTGATTGGTCTGAAAATTTCAGGGCAGATAGATCTTGACCTAATGAACAATTTTATCATCATCAGATTTGCTCTAAATGCTTCGGTTTCAGAGATATGAGCCAAAAACTGCATTTTACCCTATGTACTATTTTTTAGCCATGTCGGCCATCTTGGTTCGCGGGCGGGGTCATCGGACACATTTTTTAAACTAGATACCCTAATGATGATTGTGGACAAGTTTGGTTAAATTTGTCTTAGTAGTTTCAGAGGAGAAGATTTTTGTAAAAAATGATAAAAATTTACGAAAAATGGTTAAAAATTGACTATAAAGGGCAATAACTCCTTAAGGGGTCAACTGACCATTTTGGTCAATTTGACTTATTTGTAGATCTTACTTTGCTGATCATTATTGCTGTTTACAGTTTATCTCTATCTATAATAATATTCAAGATAATAACCAAAAACAGCAAAATTTCCTAAAAATTACCAATTCAGGGGCAGCAACCCAACAACGGGTTGTCCGATTCATCAGAAAATTTCAGGGCAGATAGATCTTGACCTAATGAACAATTTTATCCTCATCAGATTTGCTCTAAATGCTTTGGTTTCAGAGATATGAGCCAAAAACTGCATTTTAACCCTATGTACTATTTTTTAGCCATGTTGGCCATCTTGGTTCGCGGGCAGGGTCATCGGACACATTTTTTAAACTAGATACCCTAATGATGATTGTGGACAAGTTTGGTTAAATTTGTCTTAGTAGTTTCAGAGGAGAAGATTTTTGTAAAAGATTACAAAAATTTACGAAAAATGGTTAAAAATTGACTATAAAGGGCAATAACTCCTTAAGGGGTCAACTGACCATTTTGGTCAAGTTGACTTATTTGTAGATCTTACTTTGCTGAACATTATTGCTGTTTACAGTTTATCTCTATCTATAATAATATTCAAGATAATAACCAAAAACAGCAAAATTTCCTTAAAATTACCAATTCAGGGGCAGCAACCCAACAACGGGTTGTCCGATTCATCTGAAAATTTCAGGGCAGATAGATCTTAACCTGATGAACATTTTTACCCTATGTCAGATTTGCTCTAAATGCTTTAGTTTCAGAGATATAGGCCAAACTCTGCATTTTTACCCCTATGTTCTATTTTTAGCCACGTCGGCCATGTTGGTTGGCAGGCGGGGTCATCGGACACATTTTTTAAACTAGATACTTGAATGATGATTGTGTTTAAGTTTGGGTGCATTTGGCCCAGTAGTTTCAGAGGAGAAGATTTTTGTAAAAGTTTACGGACGACGGACGACGGACGCCAAGTGATGAGAAAAGCTCACTTGACCTTTCAGGTCAGGTGAGCTAAAAAACCAACCTATTAAAACAGACCAAAACTCATCTTACGTTAAGGAATAACAGTACGTGGAGTTGCAATCGTCAATTTGGCATTTGATGGTCGCAGTTGACGTGGAAACTCTTCAACAACAGTACTGTTATTCCGATTCTAATTCTAATTCTTATTCCGAATTCGTATTTGAATGTTCCAACATCAATTAACAGTTTATACATCTTTATTGCATTTGCATAAGGTCGATTTTTAATGATATTGACTGCAGATAATACAAGCATCTTCGGAAAAGACTTTCTTTATCATTATTCATGTACATTTAAAGACATGACTTTAAATAAAATAAAATTCAATCAAAATTCATGGATTGTCAACTGTAATGTTTCTCATTGACCATGTTTTTATCCCATCTGATTATGGATTCTTTATTCATTTACTTACACATTAATTAATTCTGAAATAGCCGAGTACATGGGACATAAGTATTAACAGCATTTCTTTTGTTGAAAACTATGAAACAGTGGGTTATTTGTGAATGAGAGCACTTCGATCAGTTTCATGGTGGCCAAAAATAATGTTTCTCATTGGACATGTTTTTCAACTAATCAGATTATGATAATTTGTAGTTCAATTAATTTCATGGAAGCTGTGTACAATCGATGTCGCCTTGTTTGCCAAACTATTTCCAATGAAGATAGTAAATAATTACGTATTTTAATTCTGAGATTTTTTTAAACTGCCTCTGTGTGTGCCATGGTGAACAAATCGGTAGTTTGTAAATTCATTACCTTCCATTTATCATTCCTGCAATTTCATTTCAAATACAGGTTTTAGAAAAGATAAAAATGTGACTTTCTATAGAGTTTCAATTGCCACCAACCGTGTTTGCCATCCGATTTATATTAACTGAGGCTTTCTCCAGATGGAACCAAATGAAGATTGTTTGTCCCTGACCTTCTTTTGTTTATTTCACAAATTTGCTTACAGTGAAAAATATAAACATTAGACGTTCAAATTTGAGTGGGAATTATTTGCCACAAAAATCGTTTGTAGAAGGTTTCCAATTGACTGTGAAGTTACTACTTTGTAACTAAAGATAAAGTGTTTTTTGACAATGGCCACCTTGATTCAAAGAGTCATGTTTTTTTTCTAATCGCAAACCAACCCAACATAGTTCGTTCAATACAAAACAAATCCAAGTGGATTTAGAGAAAAAAATATGAAAACATTACTGAAAACGGATGACAGATGTCGGGTGAACTAAAATGCTGATTTCGTAAAAGACATTACCACTTAACTTATCATAATGTAAAGATGTTCTGAGCATTTAATCTTAAATTTAAAGACAGGGACGACCATTTGATTTTTATAAGGGATAGAGAGGATTTTTGGGCATGAATATGCCGGTCTAGTAAGAACTGAAAGATATGATGAAAATATATATTCTGCCTTCAAACTAAATGCAGAATACAATTGTGTACAAAATAAAAAAAAAAAAAAGTTTATGACCACAAAAAACGATTGGAATACTTGCCTTGATTAAAACTAGGTCTATATTATATCATATTTACTCTTTAATTGTCAATATTAAACCATACATCCTTATAAATAAACAAAATAGATGATTCACACATGAGCTAACAGTTACTTATATTTATGTGTTATATATTTTCCTCATGTTAAATTTCCACAAGAACTTTATATTCTACCAGTAAAACAAGATTGTGGTTACCTTGTGTAAAATAATAATAATACCAGTTCAATGTGCTAAATGTTTATCTTCTATTGGAAATCATGACATTCACTATTTTAGAATTTCAATTCCTATAGAAAATTGTCAATCTTAATCAAACATTCTATGCTGTACACTATCTTGGTGATTTGGGAAATGATAATGTTGTTTGAGCCTCAACAACCATATTCATCACTTTATCTAGCAGGCTTAGTGTCAGGTTATATAGTGGATAGTTGGATGGCAGTTTTTTCATTATTGAAGGTGCCTGCACAAAATATCTGAAAAATTAATAAATATAAACATACAGTAATTATTATGTAACAAATCTTTCATCTGGAAAAAATTTCCTCTAGAGTACTTTTTTAATAGCAATTAAAGAACCTTTGTGAGGACTACGCTTGTGGAAATCTACATATAATGAAAGTAATTTTCTACAAAGTTTCATGAAATTCTGTTGTGTCGTTTCATTCTATGTTTAAAGGGGCATAACTTCTTGAAAAAAACAAGAGGCTCTCAAGAGCCTGAATCGCTCACCTGTATTTCAGAGGAGAAGATTTTTAAATGTTAGCAAACTTGATGAACAAATTGTGTAAAATTGTCTTTAAAGGGCAATAACTCCTTAAGGGGTCAATTGACAATTTTGGTCATATTAACTTTTTTGTAGATCTTACTTTGCTGAACATAATTGCTGCTTACAGTTTATATATATATCTATAATAATATTCAAAATAATAACAAAAAACTGCAAAATTTTGTTAAAACTACCAATTCGGTGGCAGCAACCCAACAATGGGTTGTTCTATTCATCTGATAATTTCAGGGCCGATAGATCTTGACCAATTAAACAATTTTACCCCCGTCACATTTGCTTTAAAAGATTTAGTTTTTGAGATATAAGCCAAAAACTGCATTTGACCCTTATGTTCTATTTTTAGCCATGGCGGCCATGTTTGTCAATGGATACAAACTTCGGATACAATTTATAAACAAGATATCCTAAGGAACATTTAGTTAAAGTTTGAAGGTAATTGGCCCAGTAGTTTCAGAGGAGAAGATTTTTAAATGTTAGCAAACTTGATGAACAAATTGTGTAAAATTGTCTTTAAAGGGCAATAACTCCTTAAGGGGTCAATTGACAATTATGGTCATATTAACTTTTTTGTAGATCTTACTTTGCTAAACATTATTGCTGCTTACAGTTTATATATATCTATAATAATATTCAAAATAATAACAAAAAACTGCAAAATTTTGTTAAAACTACCAATTCGGTGGCAGCAACCCAACAATGGGTTTGTTCGATTCGTCTGAAAATTTCCGGGCCGATAGATCTTGACCAATGTCACATTAGCTCTAAAAGATTTAGTTTTTGAGATATAAGCCAAAAACTGCATTTGACCCTTATGTTCTATTTTTAGCCATGGCAGCCATGTTTGTCGATGGATACAAACTTCGGATACAATTTATAAACAAGATACCCTAAGGAACATTTAGTTAAAGTTTGAAGGTAATTGGCCCAGTAGTTTCAGAGGAGAAGATTTTTAAATGTTAGCAAACTTGATGAACAAATTGTGTAAAATTGTCTTTAAAGGGCAATAACTCCTTAAGGGGTCAATTGACAATTATGGTCATATTAACTTTTTTGTAGATCTTACTATGCTGAACATTATTGCTGCTTACAGTTTATATATATCTATAATTATATTCAAAATAATAACAAAAAACTGCAAAATTTTGTTTTAACTACCAATTCGGTGGCAGCAACCCAACAATGGGTTTGTTCGATTCGTCTGAAAATTTCAGGGCTGATAGATCTTGACCAATTGATCAATTTTACCCCATGTCAGATTTGCTCTAAAAGCTTTAGTTTTTGAGATATAAGCCAAAAACTGCATTTGACCCCTATGTTCTATTTTTAGCCATGGCGGCCATGTTTGGCGATGGATCAAAACTTCGGATACAATTTATAAACTAGATACCCTAAGGAACATTTAGTTAAAGTTTGAAGGTATTTGGCCCAGTAGTTTCAGAGGAGAAGATTTTTGAAATAGTTTACGACGACGGACGACGACGGACGCCAAGTGATGGCATAAGCTCACCGGTGAGCTAAAAAGTGGAATCGTAATTTCTTGCCAATATGCACATCTACATAGTAAGTCCTTATTGTCTACAAAGTTTCATGAGATTCTGTAGTGTGGTTTCAGGGGAGTTGCGATTACAAGAACAGGACTGACGGACAGACGGACGGGTCAAAAACATTATAACCCTTCGTGGGGTATAATTAGAACAAAGAGAGGCAGAGAGAGATACGGGAGGAGGTGAATTACCACCTAAGCCAGGAGAATAGGACTTAATGTACAAGATAACGTCCGCAACACATTAGAAAATGGATGTTTATAAAGAAGGAAAAAGGTATGAGAATATATATATAAAAAGGAAACATCTATCCGTTATTGTAGGTAGAACATATAAAGTCATACGCCATGATCTATATTTTATACACATTTTATAGTTCTTGGCAAAAACACAAACAAGAGTGCACATGCCGATATGTTTCACCTGCTTTACTTATGATTGAATTTGTTTAAAGTCTGTAATATGAAGGTTCTACTAAAGTATCCCAAAAACTTAACATTATGAAAGATCCATGAAAATAAGATCATGGTCAGATGAACCATGCCAGACAGACATGTAGACATTAAAATCATTCCATACACCAAATATAGTTGACCTATTGCTTAAAGTATCTGATAAACTGACAAAATCATGAAAATGATGTCAAGGTCATATGAACCCTGCCAGACTTTACACCTTACCGTGGCATCATTTCTTACACCAAATACAACTGACCTTATTGCTCATAATAGTATCTGATAAACTGACAAAACCACGAAAACTTATCATTGACCAATGAACTATAAAAATGAGGTCAAGGTCATATAAAAACTGCATGACAGGCAAGTACACCTGACAATCATTCCATACAACAAATATAGTGGCCATATTGCTTATAGTATCAAAGAAATAGACCAAACCACAAAAACTAAACATTGTCCAATGAACCATGAAATTGAGATCAAGTTCAGATGAAAGCTGCCAGTTGGACATGTACACCTTACAATCATTCCAACTTCAAATAATTGACCTACTGCTTAAAGTATCTGAGAGTACAGATTTGACAACGAAAACTTAACCTTGATCACTATTCCATGAAATGAGGTCGAGGTCAGGTTAACCCTATCCGACAGACATGTAGACCTTGCAAAGGTAACCATATACCAAATGTAGTTATCCTATTAGTCATAATAAGTGAGTATTTTCACATTGAAAAATGTATTGGGCAAAACCTTTCAAAATTTTGGGTCCTCAATGCTCTTCTACCTTGTACTTGATTTTGCTTTTTTGCTTTTTATTCAAGCGTCACTGATGAGTCTTTTGTAAACGAAACAAGCATCTGGCATTCAAAATATCTTTGACGAGTTTTTTTTCTCAATCACTGGATTGATGCCAATGCATTGCTGGTGGAGGTTTTCTCCCCGAGGCTATAATCAGCCCAGTAGTCAGCACTTCTGTGTTAACATGAAATATCATTGATATAGTCGTATTTATAAATTAGCTGTTTACAAAACTTTGAAATATTAAGGATTTTCTACCCCAGTAATAGCCCTGCTGGAAGAACTGCTAGCCCATCAAAACTGACCTGCTATATATAGCCCGAGAATGCCTTTCAAATCAGTTTGCTGCATAATTACAAAGTGGGTGTCCTTTGTTTTAAAGGCGGCATTATACACTGTATTCAATAATTTTTGTTGACCTGCTTTTTATTCTGTTGGTAAACAAACAGTGGTGCTTATCCTAACTTAGTTGTTCCCACATACAAAGCAGACTTTTTATTGGCGTGCTCGGGAAAATAACGCAATATTCTCTGTTTTTTTCAGGCCGACCTTGCTCAGGGGAATCTTTATTTCCGGGACACTATAAATTTTCCTTCCCGCCTTTCCCGGTCGTATTTGGCATTTTTGGGGATGAATTGTCAGTCTCATTACCCCCTTCATCTACAGTTTTTCATTTTAAAACTGACGGAAGTTCCTGGGGTGCCCGTACTAAAATATTTAGAAATATTTGGTTGCATGGATTGGTTTCGTGCTCAACAGCTGTCCGACAAGACAGGTCAATACCGATGAATACATCAGACCCCCAGTACCGTTAATTGAAAGGCACTGGCTACGGTTACATGGAAATGTAACAATAATATAAAAATAAACTGCTTCGCTGAGCGCAGCTAGATACGCCCGCAGAGGTCCAACCCTGAACAGTTGGGGCAAAAATGGACACAATATTCAAGCTTGATTTAGGTCTGAATTTGGATTGTAATTAAATATTTGACATATTATAGGTTTCTGAATAAATGTAGTCAAAGAACTTGAATTGGTTATATGAATTGAATTTATATTCAATTAAAGATTTCTTGCTGTTGTGCAATACTTAGTAAATCTGTTGTCAGACTATAAACAAATAAAGTTCAATTTATTCTCAATGTCATATTAGAAATTTATGAAAACAAGCATTCTGAGAGTATTGCATGGCAATTCATAGTCCCCTACCGGGTAAAAATTCATTTTACTGGAACAAAATGCTAACTTGTTCTATAACTTGTCATGGTGTAAACAAAAAGTAAATATCATGTCAATATCTTCAAGCATGACTAAAAACAGTGTTGAAAACTGATTATATGAGTGAAAAAAACATTAGATATGATTAATAGTTCTCTAAAATTAGATATGATGTAATACAGTGTATATCTATTTTCAAATTATAATCAAATATAATTAATAGTTCCAAATATTTTTTCTTTCATCATGTTCATTTGTCACAAACTAATATAGATTTGTAACTTATCTATAAAATGTCAACAACTTTTATCTACACAATGTAATGTATTGAAATATATACATTAATAAAAATAGATTATTATCTAATTAAAGGATTTCTCTTCATATTTTTTTATATATATATAGCATTCAGAAAATTAGTTTATACTAAATAACAAACAAACCTGCCAAAAATTTCTTCAAATAATTTAACAAAGAATGGCTTTTAAAAAATGAGTTATCTCCCTTTGGACAAAAATATGGTTTAACATAGTACTCTAACATTAGATATGGTCCAGAGTTATGGTCCATAACTCTGGACTAAATCATCAGACCAGAACAAAATTCGAACTTGATCTATAACTTGTCATAATAAAACTATATACCAAATATCAAATCAATATCTT